AGGAAGTTAATAAAAGGAAAATACCACTATCAGTAAGTCAGTAACATATCAAGTATTTTCACCTATATTTAAGTATGTTCTATTTTCTATTTCTATCTACTCTGTGATGTTTTTCTTACTACAACCTGGATACTATTCTGTTGATAATATTAAGTATTGAAAAGTATAGAGCTAATTTTTCGTATCATTTTCTGTATAATTTTTAAGCCTATTTCTGCAATATATACCTAATTGCCATGTTATTCTCATATTCACAGATTAGTCTTTGTTTAAATCATTTTATATGGTACTTTGGATTTAATGTTTGTCTTTAATATTCACTATAATTTAATTATTTTTTTAAATTCATTTATGAATTTATATTTCTGTTTCCTATTTCTAAATGCTTAATTTTTTAGGGCTTTGATTATACAATCAAAAAAAGGGTTAGCCTGACCTGATTCCTTTTTCCACTTAAATTATTACTTTTTTCTTGTTCTCCAAATGACCATCATCAATTTGTCTGCTGTTTTATTTACTGTTAACAAATCACTTTTACTTTTCTCCATATATTTCTATTATATGTACTTCTTGTATGTATGTACTATATTTATGTATTCTATGTATACCCATTTAATTCTTTCTATTTTATATCATCTGCCAATCTAAGTCTACCACATTTTTTAAAACCTACTCACACCTATTTTAATCTATTGGACTTTTGACAAAAAATTAGACATGAGCCTGCCCTATGCTCCATAATTTTTCTCTATCCAAACCAGTGCCATTCTTAAGTAATCTACCCTTCTTCTGGGGTCTCCCTCTTTTCACTTCTATGTGCATCACCTCCAATCTACAGTAATTTTATTCTATATTTCCTCTCATTGTCTAATAGTATTGCTGGAGAATTTCCAGTTAAATTTTGCTATTAAAATCTGTAACTTTTGTAATGTTTTTTATCCAGATATTCTTCCTTCTATCTGCCAATATTATGTAGATCATTGTCTTTCTATTACTGTTTGAATTTTCTTAATTATGTCCATATTAGCTCTTCTTCTTCATGTTTGATATTCTTCTGTTAAATGTGCATATCTTAGGTAGTTTAGGTATTATCTGTAAATATTAATGAATTCAACTTTAACTGTATTACCTTCAAAATATCTTACAGTACTTAGTTTGGACAAAAGTATATATCTTGTAAAACATCCCTTTTTATAGGTAAGCCCTTGTGTTTGCATTACAATGTATATTTCAAATAAATTTAAAATTATATATATATATATATATATATATATATATATATATATATATATATATATGTTGAACAATTATTCCGGGAAAATATCCGTTGGTCATTTTTTAATTGCAGACGTTTCGCCAAGGTCTCACTTGGCATCTTCTGTGCGTTGTCTTCGGTCTCGTAGTCGGACTACGAGACCGAAGACAACGCACAGAAGATGCCAAGTGAGACCTTGGCGAAACGTCTGCAATTAAAAAATGACCAACGGATATTTTCCCGGAATAATTGTTCAACATATTACTCCATCCGTGAAACACTTCAAACTAACATATATATATATATATATATATATATATATATATATATATATATATATATATATATATATATAATATAGTCTATTCTACTATTTTGAATTTGTATAAGTAATATTATTTTTAATAATTTCAACTGACATCTTTTTACAATGATTTATTTTTCTTCATTTCAGTAGGTGCTTTTCCATTTAAATAATTAAAGATACTGTTCCATTTTATTTTTGCTCTGTCTTGTACCAAAATAAAGTTGCATAAAAATAAAAGCATGAATTTAAGTATTACTAAAAATAAAGGAATTTTGATCCATGCAATCATTACTGCAATACTTCAAACTAGTTAACAATGCCATTTCTTTTAAGTTATATCAAATAAGGCTTTATAAACTAATATATTTTTTATGCTCTTGATCTGAGGTTTCTAAATTTCAAATAAAATACTGGGTTCTATTAAATCCCCTCTTCATAGGTTATATACTAAGAGGACTTTAAAAAAAAATCAAACAATCTCAAAGGTCCAGAATAGAGTTCATTCTACCTATTGACTTATCTAATTATAGTTCTCCCATTGTTCCTCACATGGAAGGATATTTTATTGGTGTTTATGTTGTCACCATACTTGATATTTGAACTTGATGGTCATATAATCCAATTGACAAGTAACTTTTGCTAACATTCATTTGGGTCATTACTGAATTATAAGTTCCATTATTATACTTATTTATAATCATTGTAATAGATCTATATTTAAGATTTTTTAATATATACATACTACAGTTCTTTGTATACCAATAAGTATAGCTTATAGCTTTGTTATAGCAATAAGATAAACCTCAAAACTTTATTTATCTTGGACAATAACAAAACCTTATAATGTTTAAGGCATTTTGTAAATCTGGATTTTGTATTTCCATATGATCTTCCCTCAAAAAAATATATTGTAAAATTGTAAAACTCATAACTAAGTACTTGGTAAATACAAAATTGAGGAAATGTAAGCTTACAAACCACATTAATTTTTAAATTATAAAATGGAATTTTACATTAACATTGTATAATATGCAAGACAAATATTATGCAACAAAAAGCTGCAATTGGCAAATAAGGTGAAAAACAAATTCAAATTTACTTTCAAAACTTCAATTGAACATCAATTATAGGTATTATCTAATAAAAACGGTACTTGATAATCAGGAAGTAAAAAAAAATAGTCAATGGATAAAATTGGCATTGGATGAGTTAATTTATTGCAGTAATTGAAATGTTACCAGACTGAGGTCATAGTTTAAGTGTATTTACATAAGAAGTATTAAAATTTAGTAAACAAATTGGTAACCGAATATATTAGCAGGTGTGTAAAAGAATAAGTGGGTGTGATATTCCTTTGGCTTCTAGCCAACTAAAAACCACTTTGTACTCACTTTAATTTTACAATTTTCATCTGATATCCTCTGTTCTGCTTTGCATTATCTACTTATATCCAAAACAGGGCTGTTTATTTACGAGTCAACTAAATCAATCGTTGTTACAGGATCTCTGTAGACTCAGGGGTGTAACAAAGTTTATATATGGCCACTAATTCTCTGTTAAGACGAATAATCACGTAGTTTTGACACTTTATTATTTAAATTTACTTTATTAAATGCTTCTTGGTTAAACTTTCTATTGAAAAAACTACAATAATATGCAAAAATATCGACATGTGTAACATCATGACGACATTACTTTTTTAGTTCGCGAATTAGAAATCAGAACTGCCAATATTGCGAAAATCCCTAAGTTGAACTGACAGAATGAATGTCAGAATTCAGCTTCATATTTATACAGTGTGACCCAATTGCGCCTAATTTAGTCTTTCATGCGCATGACGTCATATTTGAAAAATATTGGCCACTTTATTTTAAATGAATAATTTCGTGAATTTGGTGGATTTAATAACTAAATTTTTAATTCTAAGAATAATAGTCTTCCAATGTTATTTTTGAATTTTTTACAAATGGTGACTTCGGAGACACCTTTAAAAATAAAATAATATGTTCCTGAAAATTTCAATTAAAAATGTTTTTTCGTTAGCAAATTAAAGTAGTTATATTTTTTTAATTCTGGTTTTCAATTTCCATTGTTTACGCTGGTTTTGAAAACCTTTTTATTTATATCCAAACACATATTTCACAGAAATGAAACTACCTATTACTTTTTATTCTGTTAAATATATTTTTTGTAATTTACATCCATGACCGTCTTTATTTTAACTGGACTTTTATTATTGGAACGATAGACCACTAATTGGAACTGAAACAGCAAATCCTTATTTTATTGGTGGTGCCAAATGGGTACCGTTCCCGTCATAAAAAACTGGTACAACTCTTATAATCAAAAATCGTGTTTTTTAAGTTGTGTACGTTGATCTTGTCATATGTCATTCTGATTTCTAGGGCACCGTTGCCAGTTCAACGAAAATATTATATAAAACCAGCTAAAAGTAAGGCTGTGACAGACCGCCAGTTTTGAGTAGGTATACTAAAAACATACTAAAAACTAAAACATTATCGAGTATTCTCGATCAGTCAGTCACATTCAATTTGTTTAAACATGCATCCTAAAAAATTCTCATATTAATTTTGTAATTTTCCATCATCTCAATTAAGTACTCATACATTGATTTGTGTTTTATAAAAATTTATGAAAATATTTCAATTCAGAAATAATGACAGTTAATCAATATTGACAAACTTCAAATTATTATAATAAAACATTACGATGAGATATGGTATTGTAACTGTTACGTTTTGAAAAGAGTTTTTTCGCAACGAATATTTTCTGGTATATAATACGTAGGATAAAGTATAATGTTAGTTTTTTACATTTTTTATCGTTCTCGTAATAAATAATAAATTATTCTTGGTAGTTTGCCTGTTACAAAACTTATTGACACAGAATACAGTTCGAATTCGGTAGGTAATTGAAGTATAAAATTACAGTAGATGCATTCCAATTTTCCGTGTACCAGTACCCTAAGTTTTAAAAATTCTTCGAATATTGTGGATAATAACTCAACCCTATTTCTGCTTGTTTAATTTCTTAGATTAAGTTTTTTTTGGTAATGATAAAAATAATACCTATCTAAAAAGTTTATACATTTTTGATTGTTATTTTTTTATTTAGATTTAGTGCAATTCCGTTATCTGTAACGGCAACAACGAATTTATTTCTGAACCCAGGTTTACATTGGGAAAAAAAAGTGTACCAGTTTTATATGACGGGAAGTGTACCAAATACATTTTCCTTTTATAACAAGTACAAGTAGTGTCATAGCAAAGTCATAGTCATACAAATAGTGGGGGACTTCTTGAAAAAGAAGTGATAGTGAAACGTCATTGGAACGTCATTATTGTTGATATTTACTTAACCTCACTTAATTTAAATAAAAAAATAAGAAATATATTCTAGTTTTTTTGTTTCTTTTAGGTATATTTAAAAATTCTTTAAAATGTCTTTGAAAGTAGATAAGTTTGTAAAGACCTATAAGTCGATATCACGAATACCCGCAGTAGTTGGAGGTACAATCAGATCAAATGGAATAATAAGTACTCAGTGGAGTCAAAGAAATCTGGAGAAAGGTAAAAGCACTGAATTCACGAAAGAATTCTTTACTACGAATTTCAAAAAGACTGCCGAATCTATGCCAATTGATGTTGGAACAGAGTAAGTATTTATGAAACTGTTGTGTATTGAAGTTAAATATTGTATTCCTAGATATCCCATTAACTCTAAATTATTATATGTTTTTTTAAGTTCAAATAAAATAATTATTTAGTGTATAAAATTATTATTATTAATGTATTGGTCAAATTATTAAAAATTATTGTAATATTAATTTATTATTCAATATTCAATTATATGTTATTCTCAACAAAATGTTTTCTTTTTTCTCAGAATGTACTTCAATATCCACTTTGCTCCTATTTAGAAGAGCCCAAATGGAATAAAATTAGTGTTTTGTTCACAGCAAAATATAATTATTGTGTGTTCTCAGAATATTTAACTATTCTTAGAATATTACAATTATTTCAATTTGCCTCTTCATAAACTGATTTTAATAGATCTACAAGAACCCAAATACCCATAGATATATTGTTTATCCCTTAATCCGTCCTACATAAAACAGCAACAAGTTTCTATTTCTTTTTTTTTTTTTTTCAAATACTTTGTGTGTCATAAACCCACCTAAACTTTATGCAGACAGGATTTCTCCCACCGGCCATGGTTCGTTCTGGCAGCTGTAAACATACTAAGTTGTAAGATTTTAACATAACTTGCATCTTCTTCTTATGGTGCCTATCCATTAAGGATGTTGCACACTAACATGGCTATTCTGACTTTGTTGAGTGCTGCCCTAAAAAGTCCGGATTACTTGCATAACATTGCATACATTGTTAGAATTATCGTTATTTATAAAAAATGTATTAGACCAAGTTTATGTTATTGATTATTATAATGGTATTGTTGGTTTACTTTGTGCATAAATTTGGTCTTCTTTACATTCATTTTCATTCAGAATTTACAGGTTTTTCAAAATAATTAAAAATGTTTTAGATCACTGTATGAGTTCCCTATAAGTAGACTATGGTCAGCATAGCTGATAATGAATATCTAGACAACAACTACTTTCATGCAGTCACTGTTTCCTTCTAGAGCATTTTTGAATAGTGGTCCCAAGTAGAAATTAAATAACATATATTTGTCCCGTTTAATTCCTTGATAAATATTTATATTGCTGGATATTTCTCTACAATTCTGTTTCTCGATTTTTGGTATATGTTTATTATTAAGTATAAAACTTTCTCAAATAAGAATTCCAGCTTACACAGGGTTTACTGTCTACCTTTTTAAAATCGAGTTAACAGAATTTTATTTCTGATCAAATATTTTTTAATATCCACAAGGAAAAAATTCCTGTAGCTGGCTGTATACCACGTATCACAAAAAAGAGGTTAATCTTCGTAAATGGGTATATTTATTTAAAAAACCCTTAAAAGGGCTACATCAATAAAACAAATGTTTTCGGACCACACAGTCCATCATCAGGTTTTAAAATCAAAAAAATGCTAGGTCACAATGCCTGAGCCACCAAAATACCCTAGTATTACAAAATACCCTAGTATTTTGGTGGCTCAGGCATTGTGACCTAGCATTTTTTCGATTTTAAAACCTGATGATGGACTGTGTGGTCCGAAAATGTTTGTTTTATTGATGTAGCCCTTTTAAGGCTTTTTAAATAAATATACCCATTTACGAAAAATATTTTTTTGTATAGTTCTCATTCAATAGTTGTAAATAAAAAATAAGTTTGAATGAAATTACTTTTATATTTCAGAATCATTTCAAGACTATCAAAATCTGAAAAATTTAGAGCTGTTCTTCGAGACTATGATAGCAAGCAATTTTTAGAAATATGGCAAGGGCACAACCTGATTAGATCTGTAGATTTAAATACTTTGGATGCTCATGGATCCGTATATACTGACGGTATAGTATTACATATATCCCTATTACACATTCTATGATTATATCCCTATTAGATACACATTTTTTAGAATAAATCATTATTTGTAATTATAAGCCAGGGAAATAAGTAAAAAAGGTACCCTGTTTGTGACACTGTGCTGGCCAGGCAAATGACAGTGTTTTGAGTAGTATATACATCTGTAACAAAAACCTATATGTTTACTGCAGTCGATTTTTTGGACTTTGGATTAGTTATTAACTAATTAAGATCAAAAATGGTACACTTTCACTTGTCTATCAACAAAAAGTGAAGCATTTGAAACAAATTTAAGTCTTATAAAAACTTTCAAAATGGCATTTTCAAATGTTTTTATCCCTATTTGTTGATTAGAAAGTTGCAAAATAAGTAAGAAATTTCGGTTTTTATAAATGTTACTAACTTTTTAAAAAATAAACATACAATCTTCATTTTAGATGGAATGTTGGGTCTTGAAATGCTTAAAAAATGACCAAAATTTCAAAGCGATCCATCAAATTGCTTAAAAGTTATTTTAAAATAAACAGCTTCCCATGGTAAACTTTATTGACTGGCCAGTTGGTTGTCAAAACCGGTGCCAATAAAACACACACACACCATGGTAAACTTTGGGTAAACTTTTTACTCTAATGTTATAGCAACATATTCTTTCAATTCAAATAAAATTCAGCTTATGGATAATAAATAAATAATGTGTTTCGAATGTTAAAGTTTAGATGTTTGTTGTCTAAAGTTGTTAAAGTCTATATATCCTGAATCGCAATGGTATATCAATTCCTTTAAGGATATTTTAAACTGATATATGCCATATAAAATCAAGATCCACTTACACATTATGAAACTAATGGACTTAAGCTTGCAGCTCATATTTTTTATTTTTTAAATTCAATGTCCAATCTATTGAAAAATGTCCTCAAATAATGCTAAAATCAGCTTTTTCAGCATTTTTAATTCTTTATTTTCATTTTACGTGTATTTTCTAAAAAAAAAACACAAGAATAACTTTCGTCTTAGAATAGCTCAAATTACTATTAAAAAAAGTAATTTTGAAACAAAAAAACATTTTTCTGTAATGTGTTTAAAAATTGTAAATAAATAAATAGGTTTCTATGAAAAATTTTAAATTTTTATTTGATTTTTTATTATTAATCAATACATAGAAATAATTGAATAGGATAATTTGTTCTTTTCATAATATCTATTATAAATAAATTATTTACGACGTTTATTGAAGAAGTATGTATCAATTATAAATGTTTGTTTTACAATAAAGATTATAATAATTATAACTCAATTATTACTAAAAAGAAATAAGAAACTAAAAAAAGTGTTTAAACAAAGTAGATGATTTATTTAACAATTTGATTATTAAAATAATACATAATTTTCGTAATGTACCCAAAAATAACATGCTTATAAAAAAAAATGTCGAAATCCATAACCAAAAACCAGAGACACAGCAAACAACTCTTTGTTAGCCAAAATCCATAACCAAAAACCAGAGACACAGCAAACAACTCTTTGTCAGCTGATTTTGAAGTTTTGTGAAAGATTCCATTAAAAGGCAATCTTTTGCGATGTTTAAAATTATTTTTCTTATATTGTTGCAAAAAAAATAATTTGGGATAAACAAATTAAATAGCCTTTAAACTATTTGACCGATCGATTTCAAATTTTGACCATACTTAAACACTACAAGACTCAACATTCCATGTAATAAGGTTATAAGTTTTTTTTTTAATTAGTTAATTAGTTTAATTTTAAGTTATTAACATTTATAAAAAACCGAAATTTTTGACTTATTTCGCAACTTCTAAAGTAACAAATAAGGATATCAACATTTAAAAAACGCCGTTTTGATGGTTTTCAAACCTTCATTATCATCATCATTTGGCTCTACAACTCTTATTGGCTTTATTCCCATTTTGCGTGGATCACTGGCTACTGCATCCTTCCAAGTCTTTCTTGTGCTTCTGCCTTCGGGCCTTTTCCAGGATATGGCTTTCAGGAGTCTTTCGTCACTTGAAGCACGGTTTGCTTTAATGTAGCGTACTATGTTTTCATCTCCATATACTGTCTGGAGTTCATCATTGTGCCTTCTTCTTCACTCTCCTGTTGGTCTCTTCTCTGCAAGGCCCATAGATAGTCTGCAGTATCTTTCTTTCCAGTAGCAGTAATTTTGTCGTTTCCCGCTTGTTCAGAGTCCATGTCTCGCTTCCATACGTTATTGTGGGACGAATTATTGTCTTATACACTCTTATTTTTACTGATATTGAGAGTATTTTTGATTTAAGTAGTAAACTTATTAAGTATTGACGACGAATTCTTTGACGACTTCAAAGTTGTATACATTGATTGTTACGTTTTGTCTAACCCTTGGCCTTGGGTTCTTTGTAACCACCATGTACTTGGTCTTGTCCTCGTTGACCTTCAGACCAACTTCGTTGGCTCCGTTTTCGAATAGGGTGAAAACATAGCATCTCTCGTGGATTGTGCAATTGTGTCCACGTCATACACAAACGCCAATAGTATTTTTGATCCTTGGGCGGCAAATCCGTTTGTCAGTTGTGGTTGAGCTTTTCTTACCGCATGTTCCAGTGCAAAATTAAATAGCAAGGGGGCGAGAGGATCTCCTTGTCTAAGCCTGGTGTCAATGAGGAATTCCTCCGACGTGGTGCTGCCAATTCTGATCTGTGTGGAAGCGTTCTAGGTGCTCACCTGTGCTAATCGTATCAGCTTTCCAGATACTCCCATTTCTACCACGATATCCCACAATACTTCTCTGCTAACAGAATCGTAAACTTGTTTAAAGTCCACGAAAATGTGGTGTACATCGCGGTTGAATTTGCAGTTTTTTTCAACACCTGGCGTAGGACGAATATCTCGTCTATGGTCGGACCCTCCCGGTCTGAATCCGCTTTGGTAGTCGCCTATTATTTCCTCTGCGTATGGAGTTAGTCTTCTAGACAGTATTATTGATATAGTTTTGTACGTTGTATTGATTAACGTTATTCCTCTATAGTTCCGACATATTTGTTAGTCTCCCTTCTTGTGGATAGGTACTATATGGCAGTGTTTCAGTGTTTCTTCTCTTTTCCAGACTTCGCTTATAAGATGATCTATCTCAAGGTGGAGTTTTTCTTCCCCATTTTTTAGTAGTTCCGCCTGTATGCCGTCTGCGCCTGGGGCTTTATGATTTCTTAGGGACGAAATTGCGGACTTTACTTCAGCTAGTGTGGGCCCTGGTATTTCAGGTTCAGCTAACTGGTACTGGCTTTGTTGCCCTTTCGTTGTGGGTTTTTCTGTATTTAAGAGTTGCTCTGTTCAAACCTTCGCCATAAGTATCTTGCTGTCCAATTTGTTTCAAATACTTCACTTTTTGCTGATAGACGAAAAAAGCGAAAATTTACCATTTTTGGACCTTAATTGTTAATTACTAATTAATTCCAAAAAATCGACTGCAGGAAACATATAGGTTCTTGTTATAGAGGTCATAATACTCAAAACAACTGTCGTTTGCCTGGTCGGATCAGTGTCACTAAAAAAAACTTATTTCCCTGAGCTATTACCTATGGCATTTGGGCTTTACCTTTTTTGGTAATAGTATTAAATACAATGATTGGTCCTTTTTAAATATACTATTTATTTACAATTTTTATTTTGTTGTACAATTGCTTCTTAAAATATATTTAATTGAAATAAAAAATCACATACAAAATATGTAGACATTTTTATTAATATCTCGCCACACTTAATTAGTTCATTGCATAATTTCGTTGAATTTCTCAGCGCCCTTTGTAGAAACTTGTAATTTCCCATCGGTTTTTTCTAGAAACTTACTGTAATTTTACATCTATTTTCTGGAGGTTTGTTATCTGACACCATCCTGATATTCAACTAGATCAAACTCAAGTAGACCTGATCATCAACAAACTGAAACAAGCAGTAGATGAGGTTGTTATCGCAATCAGAATCAACTTCTGCAACTGTGGTTAAACTTGCTAACTAGTATACAAAAAAATGGATAACGGAGGTGGTGATGATTATAGAGGGCCTGTAGGAGGAGCAAACTTAAATTTAGTCGATCCCAATAACATGCCAAAGAGCACTATGGTCCTCTCACTCGCTTTTTCCAAGAAAGAGAATAAAGTTATTAGAGTTATTATCAGAACCGCCTAAGGAAACAAAAACAAGGCCTCAAGACGGAAGACTGATTATTGAAAAATCGTAAGATCGTAGAGGATGGACAAATCTTAGTCTTTCTTCTCCACCGACGAGGTCTCTTAAAAAGCATTGATGCCTGCTCATTCAGAGTCCTACCAGCGGATCTCAGACAGAACTTTCTGTTGCAATGGGAAAGTTCGATGTAGCTTTAATACAAGAGCCAAATAAGAGGTCAATCGGGCATTATGTATACCTGATCTTCCGAAGTTCCAAGCACCCAAGAAAGGCATTCAGTTAATATATTTTTGAATGATATAGGAATTGTGCTTAAAATTTATGTACGTCGATAGTTCTTTACATTATGTTTATAACTAGTTTTAAAAAATGGTTTCAAATCATTCTCCTGATGATAAAGATTCTCGAATATATAATACAATGGGCTCGCTAGCACAAAATTTCAAAATGTTTTGAATACGATGGGAGGACTAACGTTAGGATTTAGGCATTTTTCTGAGTTTGAATTGGTCAAATATTCATAAACTTTGAAAATATGACATTTTATAATTAGACAAGTTTATTTGATCATTACAAAAAAATTGAGGTGGTAGAGTTATATTACTGGTTTGGTATAGTGATAAAAAACAGATTATTAGAAGTTTCAGACAAAGAATGAGATTGAACAGTACTAAAGAATATCAATTAACAAAGTCAAGAACACAAAAGTTCCAAGCTCCGACAATATATCAGTTAAATTTGAAATGTATCAGAAAATGTATCAGTTAAATTAGAAACTAGAAAATTTCCGGTACCGGAGACCGAATCCAGGCCATCCAGTTGGGTAAGCCAGTACTATAGCCACTGAGCTACATCGACCACCACCATATCCTTGCTTTGAACTTTAATTTGATTTGAACCCTTTAAATTGAAATAACAATTACATTTAATATTATATTTTTAGGAGAATTTTCGTCGTTTGAGTGGTCACCTGATGAAAAAAAGGTTTTATATGTTGCCGAAAAAAAGAAAGTTAAATCCGAACCATTTTATAAACGAAAAGGAGCTACAACTACCAATGAATCAGGCAATGGAAGTGGGGAGGAAAAGCCAAAAGTAAGTTAGGTAATGTTATATGTGTAGTTTAATAGTGAAAAGAAGTTACTTATGAAACAATTTGCTAAAATCCAAATACAGTTTCGTCTTGCAGATTAGCTCGTGTAAAAGTTTGGTCACAAATTCACATGTAAAAGTTTTTCGATTTCCGAGCTTGTATTTAGAAGCATTTCTGGAAGCAAATTATCAGCAACTTGTATTATGTGTAATATACAGATTAATTTTTATTTGCAAGGGTGAAGAAAATCTATTTATTCAAGATTGGGGAGAACAACTAGTAGGTAAAAAGGTGTCCATAATAGCGCAGTATAATGTGGAAAGTGATTCGGTGGAGATACTAAACGGTATTCCGAACGATCTTTTTGTTGGTCAACCAAAGTACTCTCCAGATGGATCTTATATTATTGGAGTTGTGTATGAGTTAGAGCCAAGGAAATTAGGAATTATGTTCTGCGCTAATAGACCTAGTACAATCTTCACTTTGGATTTTGTTGGTAATTTCGGTGAGTGAATTTGTTATTTGATAAATGTAATATCCAGCGTGTACTTTATAAATATATAAATATATGATATTTATTTTAGTTACTTTACACCTCCCCGGAAAAGCTGTGAAATCTCCAATATTTTCTCCCAAGGGCGACTATGTTTTATGGCTTCAACGAAACTCGGGTGGACCTCACGCCAGTGCGATGGAATTAGTTAAGGCTAGCGTTCCTTTGAATGAAAATGTAAGTTTACAAGTTGTATTTATAATTATTATGTATATCTATTCATCTATATTCTACCCTATATTCCGCTGATGCACTAATGATTCATATACGTGTACTACAATATGCCAGTTTAATTTTTTTCTGTACTCACTCGCAGACAACGAATGACTATAACACAACAAGTATGTTGTGGAGGCTGTAACAGAATTAAATGGAATTTAATTGGAATGGACCGGTGCACCAATATAGCAAACTATGAAATGTACTTTTATGCACCTTATGTGTGAATGTAATAAATCATGATATTGGCTAGCAGACTATGCCGGAGAATGAAGAATTGACACTCAAGGAAGGATTTGACCAATTTGCATGCCCTTCAAAGACAGTAAAAGGAGAATAAATGTGGAAAGAAGATAGAAAACAAATAAATTGATGTGACGGAGTGTAATGAAATAAGGGAATTGGTCTAAATAATGTTTAGGCTTCAAGAAAGTATCAACATATACTTCCCAAGGTATTTTATACTGCTATCAGAGTTGTCTTAAGTAATTTCTGAAAATAAAAAAAAACAGGTACTAATAAAAAATATATTATGTACAACCCACTTTAATCCCTAACCAGTCGTTAATTTATTTAAAAAGACAACCTAAATTTAATTCTAACAATTTGATATCCTTATTCCCAACAATAAGGTATATAACCCGCATCTATATGTACAGTTTAAACTATTTTAATCATAATCAAATTTGTACGCAGTGCTAGTCAAAAGTTCGTTCCCCCTCCCTCGTATCTTTTGAACTCTTATACTTATAATAGTGAAATGTGGAGGGAGGTAATAAACGGACGTAGGCTTCTTAACTAGTCATAACAAGTGACATAATAGTGATAGATGATGCTACAGCGCCACTGTGACAGATAATTTTAAATAAGACCTTATGGCAAGTGATACCTCGTTCGAAAAGTATTGAAAATATCTATTCAACCATACTAATTTTATTTGAGTTTAAGCTCATTATGATGAAAAAATTAATAAATATTAAAACCTCCGCCTCTACTTGTCAAAAAGTTGACGTTTTTCAATTCTCTAATTGTTTTTACGCCAACGTCTACTTTTTTGACAATCAACGAGAGGCGAACGTTAGAATATTTATTAATTAAATTCGAAAACTTAATTATTTTAATATACCTATTCAATCATACTAATTTTGTTTAGTTTAAGATGATTTTGACGAATAAATTAAATAAATACTAAAATTCTAGTTTGGAATTTAATTAATAAAAATTTTTACGCCCACCTTTGGTTATTTGTTAAAAAAGTTGACGTTGCTGACGTAGTTATTTTTAGTTTGCAAAAGCGTTTATAGCTCAATATTTAGTTTCTGTTTCTGCTTAGTTTAGTCAATTCTCTAGTTATTTTTAGTTTGCAATCGCGTTTATACCTTAATATTTAGTTTTAGTTTCTGCTTAGTTTAGTCAATTCAAGTTTAGTCAAGTTGTTTTTAGTTAGTTGTTCTTAGTTAATATTTAGTTTAATTATTGTTTACCGAGACGTTTAAATTTTTACAAAGGCTGAATAATGGTACGTACTGTAGCCGATAAAGTAGCAGGTGTGTTAATAATTGGTGACTGTGGAAATAATTTCCGTGCAGCGGAACGTCTTACCAATGAGAGGTACCCTAATTTTCGTACATCGAGAGCTTATTTGAGGAAGCTTCTTCGGAAGTTTAAACAAACAGCTGGTGTTCAAGATGTCAAATGATCTGGTCGACCAATAATTAGTGATGATAAAAAAATAGACATAATTTCAGAAATGGTAGTGAATCCTACTTCTTCTGCAGCCCAAGTTGCTTCTATCTATGGAATCAATCAAAAGACAATTTTTTCTGTGGGAATACTTGAAATCTAAAGTTTACGCTACAGCACCCGACAATATTGACATTTTGAAACAACGAATTGTTGAAGAATGTAGGACAATTTCCCCCGACACATTTGAACGAGTACGGCAATAGTTTAGAAATAGGATGCATTACTGTCAGGAAGTAGATCGAGTACATTTTGAACACTTACTAGAAGAACTGGTTGTTAAATATTTATTAATTAAATAAGAAGCTACAATTTTTAATTTATTCATCAAAATGAGCTTAAACTCAAACAAAATTATTATGGCTGAATAGGTATTTTCAATACCTTTCAAACTAGGTATAACTTGCCATAAGGTCACATTTAAAATTATCTGTCACAGCGGCGCTGTTAACGTCATCTATCACTATTACGCTATTACGTTATCTGTTATGACTAGTTGAGAAGCCTACGTCTGTTTATTACCTCCCTCTAAATTTCACTATATATATATATATATATATATATATATATATATATATATATATATATATACAACTTTTTATAAAAAGGTATATATATTCCAAAAAGCTCCTTTCGGGCTATATCACGTTTTCGGACTAGTAAGTTTATAATCAGTGCAGTTGCCAGGAATACTTGAGTGGAGCCACTACATAAATATGTGGTTAAAAATCTTTATATAATATTAAATGTGTTAAATATTACATATTTGTTAATAAATTCAATTGATGTTGAAGTTTTAAACAGATTTACTACATGTTAACTCAAGACTTCCAAGGGTTGCTGACCCTGAGCCAAAGTCTCCCTTGGACCATCTCTATGGGTTCTAGGTAGCAACTAGCCTAGTACTAACTATTGAACTTTGGCAAAGTCCTTCTAAAAATCATCTCGACATAGTGCCTTAATACTTCTAGACCAGAAATATTCGAATTCTCCGGTACAAATGGGGCTTTATCGAAGCCACACTTATGGTCTCCGTTTAGCCCTAATTATGGTATTATTGTATTGACATAATTGAATATACAATAGTGTACATAAATAAAATTGTTTTTTATAATTATTTTTTTTACGTATTAAATATTTTTTAGACAGTCCCTAAGGTCGTAATTGATATTGTGGACACCGAGAAAAAGATAGAAGGTGGTAAATTGTTTTACGGTTTATACAACACAGGATTTTTTAGAAGACCATGGGCGAGCAATGACCGACTAATCGTTAATACTAACCAAAAGTATACAATAAATTCCTATGTTGTAAATATTAGTAAGTATACGCTTATTTTATCTAATGCAAATATGACAAAATTGATTTATTATAATAACCCGTATTAGGCTGATGTATGGTACAAAATATATAGCAATTATGCTAATATTATATTGTTTAATGGTATATCATTTTAATTAAAGAAATTTTACTTGCCGATACAAGGCTTATTATTAAATGTTTGAGAAAACATAGTTAAAGTTTCGTTATGGTCGGCTGTAGACTAGTGATCATCGGCTTTACTGCACTAATTGATAACTATTGGGAAAGTTCTTGAGGGGAAGAGTAATATTAACGACCAGGATAGAAATAGAATTAGTTATGTAATTGTTTGTTGAAAAATAAGTGTGATGCTGTATTTAAAAGTTGTATATTCATCACAGAGATATTTTTTTGAAAATTTTCTTTCTTTTTACTTAAATTGAAATGGACTCACATATTAAAGATTTATATTTATGTTAATTTTTTTTATTATAGATACTGGCTCATTAACACAACTGGAATATAATGATGGCAGTTTAAGGGTACTGGACGTTCATGAAGATACAGTTCTTGCTGTCTGTAGACATTTTCTAAAACCCGATAAAATCGTACTGGGTAAATTGCCTGGACCAAACCAAGACGCTAGTATTGTCTGGGAGGAACTTACAACTAGCGAAACCATACCTGGCCTAGAAAACTCGAAGTATGAATATTTGGATCTTAAAGCTCCAGAAGGTGATTTTAGTAAGTATTCAACTTTTTATGCTAAATAATTCTCTGATGGCAATGTTTACATAATTACAGTTTTTATGTAATACCAAAAGCCCATTTACGTTTTTTTAAATACATATTGGTCTTCTTATCTAGCAATAATGTTTTAATAATTATTTATGTAATACATAAATAATTTTGAGTTTCTTGAGTCTTTGAGTCCAACAGAGTTGGATTTGTTAGATATAATAATAAAGTTGTATATTATATACGAATGTATGTAAAAGGGAATGCATGTAAAACTGCCCGAAATTTTCTATTTTTTGTTAAATATTTTGTGTAAGGTCATATTACACAAAATATAGAAAATTTCGGACAAGAGCTACCGGCACAAGTGAATGTCGTAATTGAGATGAGTGCGTAATAATATATACCTGTTAATTTTTTTTTCTTATTTGTATAGACCAGTGTTTCCCAAACTGTGCTCCACAGTTTGAAAGAGTTTCAAAATTAAAATACTGATTTGACATATGCTGGTTAAAGACCGCCCTCTCCTTGCTACCCCAATCAAAGTGTACCTACGGACGGAAGTGATTAGTCTTGTTTCATTTGTATTGTGAATTTGTTCGGTCACTCGATTCTTGTGGTGTCAGTTTAGTTCGCGCAGTATTGCAGTTATTTTCCACTTGTTATTTGAAAAAAAAATTAATTGTGTTCAGCAATGGATCGCTGGTTGAAGACTGGATCTTTCAGAAAAATTGTTAATACCACTGACACAGTCACTCCAGTAGAGGCAGTGGCTTCAACTTCGAACAGGTATGTGTATTATGTTAAAAAGTTAACACTTTCGGCGCCCATGAAAAATCAAGGCATATCTTCAAATCCCAACAGCGGAAAATGCTTAAAGCTGTTTGTTATTGCTTACATTTAATAGTTTATTTATGCATTTTTTTTTTATTGAGATATTTAACAAGAAAAAAGTTAGTGCCGTATACGTGACGCACGCCATCACTATTCCTCCGCATAAATATTTATAGTACATGGCCCAATGACGTATGGGTAACGTCATTACCATTTGTATTTTTATTATTGAAGTATAAACATAACATTATACAAATTATACAAATGCAAAAATAAATACCTCTAGCCTTCGTTGTTTCGTGAACGGAATGTTTTGAAATACTGCCAGACTGTCCGTCCACTGATAATTGAATTGTTACTGCAATGTGCTGAGAGGAACACTTGCTATCACTGCCTTATCACCTTGATAAGAACAGAACATTGTGCCAAATAAAGCATTTCAAGGTCTCGAAGTCCAATTATACGTCCGTATACACATAAAGAGATATATTTTGCGGTGCACCTCTGTTTTCTATAATTACAGTAACTACACGAATCTCCGAACCACGTGCACTTTTACAAATTGCAAACAATTGCCCAAGCGCTCTTAAACCAGTGAGAAGCATTCTCTAACCCCGATTTTTTTAAGAGTTTATATATTTATGCATGTCTACGCCGTTACATATATGGCACGAGCCGTGCTGTAAAATATGCTAATGTAGTATATGCCACGGCGTGTATTGTACGTATTGTGATTATCCAGAACCAGATATCAGTTCCACAGGAAAAAAATTGGTACAAAGGAAATACAATGATTCCTACTTAGAAATTGGATTAGATGAGACCGGTGACAACAAACCACAGTGCGTAATTTGCGGTAAGGTGTTGCCAAACAGTTCAATGTTTCAGCTAAAATGCGTCGTCATTTTGAAAAGGTGCATCCAGAATGTATTGGAAAACCCACTGATTTCTTCAGAAGAAAACACGGCGAACTAACACATGATCAAAAAATCTATAACCTACCATTCAAAAACAGTGAACGAAAATGCTTTAATGGCGTCCTACTTAGTCAGTTACCGCGCTGCTCAAGCAGGTGAAGCTCACACCATCGCGGAAAATCTCATAAAGTCGTGTTTTAAGGACATAATTGAATGTATGTTGGACGATAAAGCCAATAAACTAGTAAGCACGGTACCTTTGTCAAATAATACATTCTAGCGCCGCATCGGAGACTTGGCAGAGGATGTGAAAGCTACCTTACTTTCTCGAATAAAATCTACCAAGTTTTCACTACAGATATGTGAGTCAACAGATGTAGCTGGGTTGATAATTTTAATAATATTGGTGCGGTAGCAGCACTTCAGCACAGAGTCTTTTCAAGAGGATCTACTTTTTTGCAAATAATTGACAACTAACACAACTGATGCAGAAATTTTCAAGTTAATAGAAAGCTTTTTTACAGAGAATAGCATTCATTGGGATAACTGCGTCGATGTGTGCACAGACGGCGCGAAGACGATGACTAGAGGAACGTCGGGCATCGTCATTTCAAGAGTAAAAGAAAAACCAAGGAATACAACAATAGCCACTGTATCCTCCACCGCCATAGCCCCGCTGTAAAAAAAATGCTGCCTTCCTTAAAAGTAGTCTTGGACGAAACCGTGAAGATAATTAATTTTATCAAATCACGATCACTGAATACAAAGCTGTTTACGAGTGATATACGATGACATGGGCAGTATACATTCGTCTTTACTTCCTCATACGGAAGTAAGGTGGCTTTCTCGCGCAAATGTTTAGCTAGGCTCTTTGAAATGAGAACTGAAGTTAGAACCTTCCTAATTGACAGCAATTTTGTCTTGAGTGATCGAGTGATCGAGTGATCTAAGCATATAGAAAGAAATTAATTTTTTGGGCAGAATCGGAGAAATATAAAAATCTGGATAGCTTTCCACTAATTACAGAATTTAGAGAAGAACTAGAATCGGACATACCTGAAGCTGTCTTTAACGAGTTCCACACGCATCTGCTAAATTTATTGGAAAACTTCTTTAATTATTTTCCTGATGAATTCCCACGACAAAATTAAAGAAAACTTCTGGTTTGCAGATCCATACCTTGCAATGTTAAAAAAAAAACAGCTTCTTAACATCTCAGCAGTATGCCTGATAGATTTGACATCGGATTCTGCGATAAAAAATATTTTGAAAATAAATCGCTAGTAGATTTTTAGTGTCAATTCAAAGATGAATTTAAAATTTTGTCAGATACATCGAAAGTTATTCTTCTCCCTTTTGCAACAACATACTTATGTGAAGCAGCATCCTCTGCCTATGTGGCCACTAAAACAAAATATAGATCTCGACTGAATGCGGAACCTGACATTTGATTGATGAACTAACCTGTGCAAATCAAGGCTGCCTCATTCTTCACATTAAAATGAAGACATTACGTTTTTTAAGATTTTTATTTTTGTTTTTCGTTTTTTCAGGTGCAATATGGTAAGTGCTTCCTACAGAATTTCTGTCCTGAATAGTGTCTCCTCGACCAAAAAACTTTGGGAAACGCTGGTATAGACTATAGAGTCATCAAAAGAACATACTTAAGATAGGCCATAGAATAAAAAATTCGCGGTTTGGGTTTTTAGCCACTTGCACAGACTGACTTATACTTAACTTTTTTTGTGAGACTGGAAATCTTCTAAACGCCGCACCAGATCAATTTTACCTGGCATGGCATGAGATGGATTCAGAGTAGACGGAGTACATCCGAATGCAGTTTTTCTTTTGAGTATCTTGTCCCCAGAAGCATCCATGGTACACTGCCTGCCAACTAAAACCACTCTCAGCTTACTCGCGTATGGCCCATTGTGTTTAATAGGCAGATCGGTCTAAAAGCTCTCGGTTTTTTCTTTCCTTTTTTTGCCTTCTCAGGAGGTCATTCATGATTTCTTTCACTCATCATACTTTTTCCCTATGATCATCTTTACAATTTCCCCGCCTCCATCAGCTCCTCTGTAGAGAAATATGTTGCCGGCGTTTGTACATGCAAAGGTGTGAAGTTCTTTATCTCTCTCTGTGTCAGAATAGCTCTTTTGTCAGCTCTCTTCTGCGGCTTTCTTTGATTTTGGGGATATTACTTTCTTTAAGATTTTTGGCAACTATCTTGTACACATCACCCCAGATTCCCGAGATTAGTTATCGCACATTTATTTCCAGCACCTTTTCTTTTCATTGTTTATTTCATTTGAAGATTTTTCTTTAAAGTTTTTAAACACACTGCCTCTTTTTCCACCAGTTAATTCTTCTTTTTGTATTACATAACCTGACTTATTTGTTTATTATTCCTAGTAATAAAAATGTGAATCTGTCTATAAATTACATTTATATTTAGGTGTAAAATCTACACCTAAATTATGATTTTTTCGATGGGTCTATATATTGGAACTATAACATATTTACTGTAACTCTGTAATATTAACAGATATTTTACTTTCCAGAAGACTTCAATGCTATTTATATCGGCCCCAAAAGTGGTAGCAATCATTCTGTCCCCCTGATAGTTTGGCCTCACGGAGGACCTCATTCTGTCTTTGGAAACTACTTGTTTTTGGAAGAAGCTATGTATTTGCTACACGGTAAGTATTTTGATTGTGTTTTATTAACAATCATAGAAAATATAAAATTTGACAATACTTTACTCGTTATGTACTTGCTAATTTTACTCACAATACTTCTTCATTAACGAGACCTTCTGCACTATTTTAATTGTTGGGATTTTGGAATTATTCAAATAATTCGTTCCTACCTCTATTTTTAACAGTTCTTTCGATAACTATCAGTTTTTGTCTCCAGCAATTATTATTTTTTACGTATAATATAAATTTCTAATATTATATTATTTATCTATGAATATAAATATCAGAAACGTTAAAATAACTGTCAAATTTGTTTTAGTTCTTTTGAATTTCTTCAAAAAAATATTAATTTTTGGCGGTTATTTTTTGGTATATACTGTGTTCTTTCAGTTTTGTTTCTGCACTTGAAAGCGAGTTACTTACTTATTTGTACTGGTTATGTTGGTGGGAAGAGTTTTCTATTGGATACCGATTTTTTGATAAACCATGGTAGGTATCCATGGACCGCCTTCAATGTATAATAATATTAATAATAATCAGATGAATTCTAGTTAAATGGATATAATATCCTCTAATAAAAATAAATATGATTTTAAAAATAAATACCAATCAGCCGATTAAGGTCCATATAAGTATGTTTAGAACATACCAATAAAAACTTCGGTGGTCTTTTCCCCATTATAATTGGTTTTTATTTACAAATAATTGAATTCAGGAACGATATAATATAATATATATATATATATATATATATATAATATATATATATATATATATATATACATATATATATATATATATATATATATATATATACATATATATATATAATATATATATATATATATATATATATATATATATATATACATATATATATATATACATATATATATATATATATATATATATATATATATATATATATATATTTACGGCATAAAGTGAACTCCGCCCATGTTAAAATTCAGGTTCAAGTGAGCTCCGTGGTCAAGTGGACACCGATATACGGAGCTCACATGACCATTCCATAATATTGGCTCTGTCGATTCGTTAAGATGTATAGTTTCATAATTCTTAATAAAATTTTGGAGCTCATAAGTACCCCTGTATCATAAATGTATTTCGCTTAGTTCACGTGTATATATTATAGGGGTCGTTCAGATCTTCTTCACTGTATATTGGAACCATATGAATATCGGTTTAAGTAAGCTCTGATAGTTTGGCAACTATGCACTTAGGCCAGCGTTCTTGATATATATATTTTATATATTTTAAACGGTTCATACGGACTCCTTTTCATACGCATTACAATATGTAATCTTCTTCTTCTTCTTGATGTGCCTATCCGTTATGAATGTTGGCGATCATATTGACAATATGTAATAGATATGTATAATACCAAATACCTGTTTTTGGTAGGTACCTGGTATTCTAAAAATAGCTTTATAAATACAAAAGGATTTCATTACCAAGTTGGACGTGTTTTTTCATCTGCGAATATTTCCTAATGTATTTTGTTAACATGAATATGTCTTTATACGTTTTATTTAAGAATACGATTAATAAGATCTTTTAGTTAATCCATTGTTTTACGATATCTTGTATCCAGCTTCTTTATTATTTTATTTCTGGTTTTATCTGTGTAATACATATAATTCTGGATAGGTTATCTTAAAATAAATATTTAAGTGCAAAAATAGATATTTGTATGTAAAAATTGGTAGTAGTGCACAAAAGAGGAAAGAATGCTTAATTTATATAAGAAGAATGTACCAGTTCACCAATATTACATACTTCTAAATGTTTTATCTGCTATTTAGGGGTAATATGTAATCAGTAAACGTGGAGTTAGTGTCAAATTTGCAATAATCTTTGGTCAGTTTTTTCTCGATTTTAGTCATAAATTGAGCTGGTATTCGTTGAGTGGATGTTGCGATTCTAGACTTTGTATCTTTTATTCTCTAGCAGTCTAGCTACTTATCTTGGATATTAGGTGAATTGATAGCTACGATATTGTAGAGCTGTGTGATATACGTATGTATGGATGTGTGTGTGTGTGTCTTAATATTCGCTGAATTTGGCTGTCTAATTTATAGCTAAATATTCGTGTTGTGTTGGTGTCATCCATACTTGCAAGGTATATTCGGTAGCAGAAGCATAGAGTGCAAGCGTCTACGTTTTAAGGATGAAAGGATGCTTCTCATTTTTAGCTGACAAGTTTGCAGAGATTATTTTTCTGGTCCTCAGTTTGCCTTTTAGTTTTAAACAATGTTCTATGAATGACAAAGTGTGATACAAACTATCTTCAAGGTATTTATAGCAAGTCCAGAGTTTAAAAATTTCATGACACTATTGGATGTTTAGATTTTTAAAAGCATCTCTGTTAGGGACATTAAAGCAGGACATCTGACTTTTTCTGAGGTTTGGCTTAAAATTGATTCATAGTCTATTTTTATTGTGTTTAAAGTATGATTTAGATTTTTCTATACTTCAGCAATAAAAGTTTTTGGTTGTGCAACAATATCGATGTATCGTCTACATAATAAAAGTCCTAGTATTTACTGGTATGGGTTGTGTAAATATTATACAGTGTAGGTACCATTACGCTACCCCAAAGGAGACCGCTCTTCTGCGTTTTCCATCTGTTATTTTTACCATTGAATGATACGAAAAATCTTTTGTTGTGTAGGCATACCCGGACAATACAATCCATTGTTGTATTTTTGATCCAAATTTTAGAATTATTTTTGTGCTCAGATCTTTAGTCAGAAGCCGTAATATTGTTCATTATATACGTAGATAGCAGATCCAAGCTCAACACCGTTGAAAGATTCCCTTAGCTGACTGGTTTTGTCCCCTCTCATTTTAAGTTTTCTTTTCTTGTTTGCCTATGTTTGGCCCTCAATGTGTTTCCTGCACTAGAAATACGTCACATTTGTGTTAACCGCATATGTCTGATAAAGTTAAGTAAAATAAAGTACCTATCTTTATCTCTGGATATTCCCTTCTCTAATGTTTATAGAAATAATTAGGATAGTTGGCATTAAAAAGGCCGATTTGGCCGATCTTTAAACCCTATAAAATATGGCTAATCTTTTACTTTTCATTAAAAATTCTAATTTTACATACTGTTACTTTTAGACAATATTTCGATCAGATTTGTTTAGTAATAAATGTAGTTAATATACAGATTGAACCAAATTAACGGAATTTAATACATGTCTGTATGAACTGCATTTGAAATAGTGGACCAATATAAAACTTGGACAAAAATAAATCCATACCTGGGTATAGACATTGTATAAAATATCGATCAACTATCTGTCTCGCAACAATGTTGTTTGCGTAAGACGTGTTTGTCTAAGGAAGCGATAATAGTTCAGGAAATGAATCTCGAAAAAAGTTAAAACCTCGCAATGTTTTCGTCCTGCATGTATCCAGTTGAAATTTTAAAAGAAGGTAGATGATAGCCCAAGGATCAAAATCTATATCGAACCGAAGTGCGCTGAAGGGTTTTAGTGGTGAAAAATACCCCTAATTGTCAAAAATTATAAAATAACATAATAAACCTGAATATGGGTAAAATTTGGTTTGAATTAATTAAATAATGATAGTTTCCTGCTTTTGAATAAAGTTCCATCATATTTCAACCCTTAAAAAGCGACCCTTATTAGAGATTAATATAAAAAAAATTAGTAATGCGAAGAAAATGATTTCACCTTGGAACGATTTGCATAAAAATTTCTAATTAAGCTCAACTCACCCTCAGCTTTATAGTTTATTTCATGCCGATGAACCCTGATTGTTCTTAGGAGTGAAAACTACCCCTAATTTTCAAAAATTGTAAAATAATAGTACAAATCTTAAGATAAGTGAAATTTGGTTTGGATTAGTTAAATAGTGATTTTGTTATACTTTAAAATACAAACTTATACATTTTCAACCCTTAAAAATCAATTATTATGAGTGCTATAGGTGAAAACAATTTTTTGCCAAAATTTTGCAACTTTTCAACGTTTGAAAATCACCCTTTACAACATTGCAGTTTTTATAAACTAATTTATAAGATATTAATTGAAAAAAGTAGAATTAAATTTAAAAAAATGTATAAACAGAAAAAGGCACCATATATTCTTATACATTTACATAAATAGTTGAAAATATTTACATTTACAGGTAAAACAATTATAATATTAATTTTATTCGTCATTAATTACATCTTCATCGTGATTTATGTCATCCTCATCATCTTCAATTATTGGTGGACTATTATTGCACCCTTCACCTGAGCACCCAGAACAAGTAGAGTTACAGTATAAACCAACTTTTCTGCACCCACATGAAACGCCGCATCCTTTTTTGCATTGGCAAAAAATAATTTTCAAACGTTCATCGGGTGCAGGTTGTTTGTACATGCGTACGGGTAATAACAAACCATCTTTGGAATACCATCCTCAATCTGTTGCTCTGATATTTTCATTGCCAAGCCATAGACATATGAGCAGATGTTTTATTCTGTTGTATGGGATTTCAAAATAAGAACGCTTAAAATTTCGAATGTATAACGCCCCACTAGCTAATATACCGGTTTTGTAGATTATTAACGTTAAATTAAAGTTATTAGTTAAAGTTAAGATTAAAGTTAAAAAAATTAACTGGTTTTTTTAACGTATTTCCTTTAATTTTTAACGATAGAGTGTTTCTTCAAAAACGATTTTGTAAAGGTTTTTAAGAGCTACAAGGATCTGTGAATTAAATCTTTTTGGAACCCTTGTTTTTTAAATGGGATGAGTTTAAAGGGCTCGAAAAAGATGGTGCTTGATCGTAAATCGATGCTTTATACGGCTATATCTCGCCAAATATTCATTGTACAAACAAATCTAAATAAAGGATAATTTTAGTCATTAAAAAAGCTACAATTTGGTAATTTTTATTTTTTTCATATATTCAGTATTTTCGGGCATATTATAAAACGGGTAAAAAATATGAAATTGTAA